ATGAGGATGTGAGTTTTTACGCTCAAGTGCAGCTGCTCTGTCTATGATTTTAGCGCCCTGAGAGGTCATTTGAAAAAAGCACCTTCATTATCAAGCTACGATAGCTAACATAACTCCATCCATCCATCCATTTTCCGATCCGCTTTATCCTCACAAAGGTCGCGGGGTGTGCTGGAGCCTATTCCAGCTGTCATCGGGCAGCAGGCAGGGGGACACCGTGAACTGGTTGCCAGCCATTCATAACATAACGCTACATATTTAAATTTGTAGAGTTACACTGGAAAGAGTAAATTAGGGAATGTGAGTCAGGGTTATCTGAGGTCATCCTTAAATTAGTGGCATGTAGCGCCGCGCTGCAGCACAAGAGGATCAAACTCCACAACAGCAACTCGCACACCGGGCCCATGGCTTCAGTTAACTGAAGAACACAGGTGGGCTGAAGGGGGATTCCAACTTTGTGCTAGCATTTTATGGCAAGTTTTTCTTGTGAATATGGAATCTCTCTTTTTTTAAGGTCATAAAGAGAGACAGAGGGAGACGGAGATGAGGGTTATTCTTCCATGCTGCTTTAGGGAATGGCGTATTGACTCTCATTGCTCACTTGCTCTGATTTAAAAAAACTTTTCCTCCCATTGTTCATTAATCATTGCTAAACAAATCACTTCATGCTTTGGATTTGGTTTATTACAACAAAAAAAACAAGTCATGTTTGTGTAGTTATCTCAATTGTGATCGTATGATAACAATAACAAGAAACAGTATATAAAGAAATTCACAAATGCATATTTTTATAACATTGTAACTTCCTTCATTTGAAGGATCAATAATATTTGATCCAGTTGCCAATTTGATTTGGGGAAGTTTGTCTCTGGCGAAGAAGATCAGAACAATAACCGACATTTAAGTGATAACAATTTTTTAAAATGACATTTCTGTATTCACCCCCTCCCCACTCCCCAAACATTGTCCTATGCAAACATTTGTGCACGTTGTACTTAACCCATGTGTAACTTCCACTACTCCCCGTGGGGAAGACAACAATGTCTGCTCAATTCAATGAATTTCCACCCCATTTGCATCAGTCATACTGTTTTGAAGACAACACACACGGAAGTAAGATGAAACCAAAACGAAAGCCAGAGTGTGACATTGATTCAAATAGTTGCATGCCTTTTGCATACTTCCCCACATCTCTTTGTCTCTTGACCACACGCTCCACAAACTCCTAAAAAAAAGAAATCCCTCTACACCCTGCCCACAGTTGCACTCCATCCATGCAAACTTCTGTTATCTGCTCTACTGTTGATGCAAAAGAGGAAGTTCGGTGTGCAGTCGCAACTTACAAAGGTGAACATTTATTTGTGTAAAAAAAAAAAAAGTGCTCCTTCACACACTCGAGGCAGGGCCCTACTGTCACTCTTCACAAGGTTTTCAAAAGAATGAGATCGGTTTGATCTAATCATTTATCCCAAACAACCCTCTTTGCATGTGCAGCTTCTTGAATGGAACACAGTACTTGCACATTTGGGGAAGTTGGTGCAGGTCACTCCAACGGACACATCCAAGAGGAAAGCGGGGAGCAGGCGTTAAGATAAAGAAGGAAGAGATAACAGATATGAACACATGGAGATACTGTACATTACTACAATGGGATTAAAGTGTAAATGCATGATGGCAGATTTGGCGTCAAATCAGGTTTCAAAAACTCCGTAGTAGCAAACTACAAAGAGAAATTGGAAATCAAATATTGAACTACCGCAATCATTTAATAATAATAATAATAATAAAAAACTATAAGATGAATGGATGGACGAACAATACAGTGGATGCGATGAATGACTGATATGTTGCTAGATTGGTGGATTTATTAATAATAGAATAATGACTAGATGTAAGGTCAGGGCAGTCTGATGGATGGATAGCGTGATGACAAATGGATGATCATGGGGTAGACAGATGAGTGGGTAGAAAAAAATGAACAGACAGACAGAGGGGCAGATCACAGATTGACAAATGATGGGTTGATAGACTTATTGACAAGAACATGGAATGATTGACTGTTAGATGGGCACAGCCATAAAACTGTTGCTGCTTTTGAGGGTGATAGTTGAAGAATTGAAAAGATAGATACGGGATAAAAAGTGGATGGACAGATGATGGACGGATGAAAGAACAGATTTAGAGATCAGGGATAGGCAACTTAAATGCTGGAGGAGGGCCACAAATTTTTATTCAGTGCAAGTGGCGTCCACATAGGACGATGCACTTCCTAACCTGATGCATGACAAAGATGGCGTTTTAAATATGGACAAAATATGTACATGAGTGCAAAATATATGCGCTTAATATATTTCATTTTTCAGAATACATTTCTCATGGCATATAGACCAGATCCACTCTCTGAACCTAACAACAAAGGGATTGAAGCAATTAAAAAAAAACAAAACACATACTGAGATTTTTTTTTTTTCTCCGAGTGCATAGGCTTCACAAAACTGCCAAAAAGCAAACCAACTCATTTTGGGCAGCATTTTTTCACAAAAAAACAACTCACTCAAAGTTTTAATATGAATGAGGTAATTTGTTTGTCCTGCATATTATTCCGAATCTGCAAGACATTCATAGTCTTACTCACATTTTAGAATAGGGTAATAGGTCCCAGTGCAAGCACAACCAAGCCATGTCTGCCATCTAGTGGTGAATGGTGATATTACAACTTAAAACTACAGTCAACCCCTGCATACTCGCAGCGCAGCCGCCACAGATTTAAATATTACAGCTTTTTTTCATTTTTTTTTAATATATTGTCAATTTTCCAGTTTCCCCCCCATTCCCCCCTATTGTTTTCATAGGGGTTTTTTTGAAGAATTTGTGGGGTTTGTAAATGTGGAATATATATGATATGTATATACATAGTATGTAAGATGTTGTCATTGTGAAGATGTTCATTCACAATTTTTTAAAATCAAGGGGCCACCGAGAGTGTAATCGGTGGCCGCATGGGGCCCACAGGCAACCAGTTGCCAATCAATTGTACAGATGTCGTACAGGTAAATCGAATGATGATGGATGAATGGAAATATGAGCATATGGATTGTTGGACCGACGGGTAGATGCCACCTATTGGTAACAGACTGCTGGATGAACATATTAACAGATAGATGGATAAAAGAACAGACACAGTGAGTGGACACATGGATTGATGGATGTAAAAAAAGACACAGACTGAAGGGTGGCTGGACGAACGGATGGGTGGCTGGATGATTAAGAGTCAGATGAATGAATGAATTAGATTGGTAGTAGAATGGACAGACGAAGACATTTATGATCAAACAGGTGGATAGAAGGATAGACAGACAGATGAATAGAGAGTGACTCTGGGGAGTGGTGGATGGAGGGATGACGTGATAACAGGCTGAGCAGGAGAACAGACATACAGTTGGAAAGTAGATGGAGCAACAAACATATATAAATTGAAAAGACAGTGTTTAATGTCTACCTGCTGGTTGGCTGATAAAGAACACATTGAGACATAAAAGAAATAAACATGTTTGTGTATCAGTCACAGTATTACGACTGATATCATCCAAAAGGAACATGCGTTTGAAGACAGAGGACAGATTGCAGCCACATGTGCTGGGGACGCGCCGAGAAAAGAAAGTGCACACAGGTGCACGAGATAAATTCACTGCCTGAAACCACAACAGCCTTTCTGGACAAGGCTGCAGACCATTTGTTAGACTCGGACACGAGTTGCTCAATGAAGGAGTGAGCGGCTGCTTGGATGCGTGGCTCACTTGGAAGCAGGCGCACAAATATGAGAGATTCCCAAAGGAAATGATTGGCTAATTAGCCGGATGTTGAAAGCAGTGAGAAGTCTGACTCAATAGTTGGCTAAATATGACAGTTGTCTGACTGAATGTCTGAATAATGCAAAACCACGTCAATACTATTTTCTTTGCAGAAGTATCCAGATGTGTAGAGGTGGCAAATTCAGGTTCACAGAGTACAAACCCTGCCAGGGTTTGGCTTTCGCCACAGGTGCGTTGACTCAACCGGCAGGTAACCGAGCTCTTGAGTAGAAGCACCTGTGGCCAAAGCCAAACTCTGGCAGGTTTTTAATTTCTGGACCTGGATTTACCACCTCGGTGATTTGCAATGAACTCATCAGCAAGAATTGTTTCATGTATTGGCTTTAAGTGCCATTCCATACATTGGCTTGAAAATGAAAAGGAATTGCAAGAGCACGTTTAGTGCTCGCAAAAGGCCAAGGCATACAAGATGGTTTAGCATGTTTTTCTTCTCTGGTAACCGGTGAATGAAAAACATGTAAAATTTACAAAAATCATTAAGTGCAAACAAACTACATTGGATGAAAACAACACTCTCAGGCTGGAAGCAGAAGCTACCGTATTAGTAATACATTATGACACAGTATGAATAGCAACAACATTATACATTTTCATCGAAGCAATTTTAAATGTTATGTTACATTCTGTGTGGTTGCTGATGAATGAATGTTGTTGTGGTTTTTATGTGGAGGCAGGCATGTGCAATTTCATTGTGTTTTTTATGCAATTACAATAAAACTTAAAATGAAAGATTGCCAAACGGTCTCAAATTAAAACGCTTTTCCTGTGGATTTATTTGCATTTCTGTTCTTTTGTCACCATCATGACTAATTTTACTGCAGATGATTGCCCATAAACTTTGATACTGAATGAGCATTCCCTGTGCATGCTTTAAACAAATACTGTTCTGTAGCCACAGGGAGAGTGCAGTGTTGCACAGCAGGCACACAAATGATCCACATTGGCACTACAATTTTAACTACTATAGTTACATCTTGGAAATTAGAGCCATCAAGCCACAGAAACGCAGGCTAATCTACAAAGTACATGCTTACAAGTAATGAGCACACACAGACACACACACACACACACACACACACACACAAAAATCATGTGTCTCAGGATCAAAACAACTAAAATATAACTTACCAAGATAAGTTTCATGGCCAGGTTGGAGCTTGCTATCCAAGTGCTCTTCTCCTCTGCATAAAAGTGTAGTAATGTGGACTCCATCACAAATGTCCTCTTATACTGGAGCCACAGAGAGAGAGGGAGAAAGTGTGTAAGAGAGCAAGTCAGAGAGAGAGAGAGAGAGAGAGAGAGAGAGAGAGAGAGAGAGAGAGAGAGAGAGAGAGAGAGCACATTGCCCACCCACTGAGTGTCTCCCCCTCGCACAGACCATACGCCAAGTGGTGCATAAGAGGAGGAGAGAGAGGACTACTTCAAGCGAAGAGGGATCATTCATTTTGTGACCATGAATGGATGTGACTTTAAAATTAGGGCTCAATTATGTATTTATTCATGCATTCACGAAGAAGTGCTCTTTTTGAAAAACAAAACAGATCATTTGGAAATGTCGGAAAGATTTTCATTTCCCTGAAATGCCCCATCTTCTTTTCACATCATGTTTGAACTTTATGACAATGCCTATCACAAGGCTTTACATCCCATGTTTAAGTTTAAACCCTTCAAAGCTCATGGAGAAGTAGATCCATGGGTAATATCAGTGAAGAACTATGATTATTTTATAATCCTGACATCTACTATTGATACTGCTTTTGCTGTTTGGAATCGCAGGGAGCTGGATTCTATCCCATCTCATAGCAAACGGCAAACTTCACAATGGACTGGCAGCAAGTAAATGGCACAGGGCACATAGAGAGACAGACAGCCATTCACATTCACATTCACATTCACACCATCACTGAATGAGAAGTGAACCCATGTGGCCTCCACTGAAGTCAGGCGAGTGTACCACTACACCGCTGAATGATAGTGAAATATAATGTACAAAGGTATTTTGGGGCCGCATGGAAAGCAATTAAGAATGTTCCAGTCAAGCAATAATTTTAGGAATGCACCACTAAAACCATTTTGAGTATGATACCAGTACTTCCAATTGAGGGCTCAATGAAACCCAGTACCAATACGAGACAATGCCACTACGTCTTGCATTTTTGATCTAAATGTGTTTCATTTTAACCAAATATTGGTCCAAAACAAAATCTACGGGCTTTTCTTGAAGAGGGCGTATATTTCACTTTTTAGAGTAACAACTTGTCATGATTGACATCTTAACATACAACTGCATGTTATTCTAATTGTCTCAGTGATGTCGCAGTCTGAACACTAGGGGGCAATATCTAAAAGTAGTGCATAGATAAGTGACAAACAAGAAAAAAGAGTAATAAGAACGCAGAGTGGTAGATATTAGCAAGAGTGTTATATTTCCTCTGTCTGCTCATAATGAAATAACGTAATTAAAAATAAATATCAAACTGCTTCTTGAGAGTCATTAAACGAAACCTGAGGCACAATTGAAGTGATATTTCATCAAACTATTGCTTCCTTCTCTCTACTCTACGTGTTCAGGATTGAAGTGCAGCTGGCTTGGCCGGAGCTGCACAGCACGGAACTTGAATCTTGACGCTTGCTAAACAGCTCGCAGGGCAGCAGCTTCCGTCCCTGAATGGCAGCGGAATAATTTTCGGTCAGCTAAAAGTGTGATCATTCGTGTTACCTCTACATGAGTTTCATGGTTCCTACCATACTGAATCTCAGGCTAGTAAAATGGTATCAGTGTCGTAGGATTGGTGCATTTTTAAAAGTACGAGTCCTGTATACTTGCAGTATAAGTATTGGTGCATCCACACATCCATCCATCTATCCATTTTGTAATCCGCTTACCTTTGTGAGGGTCGGGGCGTGCTACAGCCTATCCCACCTGCCTCTGGGCAGTAGGCGCGGTCCACTCTGAACTGGTTGTCGGGCCAATCGCAGTATTGGTGCATCCTGAAAAAACATTATGGCCATGTAGTTGTAATATTCATCCCTGTAATGTAATATCGTTTTTCATTTCATTACCACCATACACATGCATAACAAAGATCATGACATTATATGGCATATATAATTTTATTGGCTGAAAAAAAAATCTGATCTTTTTCTTTTTTCCCTTTTCGTTTTTTTCCCACTGCATAATTTTACAATTGCTCTTTATTTTCAGTGCATTACCTTCTTTTGAAATGATGACATCGTTTCAATGAATGCACTCTAAAGCTTCATTTTAATCAATTGACAAATTAGAATCATACTCTATGTCTATGAATGAATTCAGAATTCATTCAGCTTCTGGTGCGGTAGTTTGTGTGCACTGAAGTCTCTTTGACCTGAAAAACAGTGCGGCAGGACAACAAGTGGAACAGTTTGGTGTATTTGAAGTGCATGTGTGGTAAAATCCACAGAAAGACATGCCTGTTTGCAAGATTTATGAAGTCTTCTTCATTCATGCTATTAGCTGTTAGTCATAGAAAATAGATGTTTTGGGAGGGTAACCACAGACACAGTAAAACATACGTAGCGAGTAGGTCCATGACACATCACAGTGTTGAGTAATTGAACTCATTTCCAGAGACAGTGTTTGCTGTCAACAAATGAAAATTCCACACTATACTATGAATTGTCGGTGAATAATTAACAAAAAAAAAAAACATTGAGGAAAACATGGACTTTCTTATGCTAAAATGAAAACTTCTCAAAGATTCAACTGGGGTTAGTCAAGTTGGATGTATCCCAAGTGTGTCAATCATCAACACAAGATCAGAGTCACTGAAGCAAAATGACACTTCTTTCCCCTCATCTTACATATATATTTGATTATTTCATTCCGCGTTCTCATTTTGTTCATCAGCTGTGACTTAGTTTGCCTACTTTGGGGTCCTAAAGTTATTTTAATGGTCTGTTAATAACATATTGCCTTGAGTGTTGGTAATATTTTAAACCAACGGTAAGTAAAAAAGATCTTCAAATCATTTTGATGATGGGACATTTTCTTAGAAGACGGAAGTGTCTCCACCACTGCAAATGTTGTCGTTAAGAGCTGTGCGCTTTGTACAAACTTTGTGCACTAATATTCATTGGTTTGAGTTCTTTAGCTTCCGACCATATCTTTGGTCGCTAAAAGATGAATTTCATTACAGCTGCCAAAAACACCCGTCAATTTGTATTGACCACACCATTAATTCCACTGGACAACTGTAGAAGAGCCTAAAAACAACAACAAAAAAAAAAAAACACATCAGCGCAGAAACGGCACAATATTTCCCACTTGAATGTGATCATAAAGTGATATGTGTGTTGACTGCAAAAACATACCGCTAAGTTAACGAACAATGCTTACATTTTATGTCTGTGATACATTCCAAGAAAAACAACCATTGTACTGCTACACTTATTTTATGTGATGCTTATGCTGTTAAGGGTCAGAGAAGGGACTGAAATATCCTAACTTATGTGGAAAAAAGACACGGTGCCAGTCAATCACATGGCAATTGTAAATTGAAGAACTGAATAGGAATCTGTCCCCACACCAGTTGCATGAAAGTCACCTTGTTGAACCACTACACTAATGACCCATAGTGTACTCTATGGTGGGAATATTCCTTAACACAATGGGCTGGAAACTTGTCGTCCACTCCTTGGTTTAACATTAAACTAGAAAAACAAAAATCCGAGCAGCAATTTAAACCATACCCTCATTTGATCAAGTTCCAAAGCAAAAGCAGAACACAAGCGTCAGTCATGTTACATGATGGATCACGGGCGGTCGTGAAACAAGACTTTGGGTTTGGGAAACTGTGCTCGAAAGTTGTTTTTGTCGGCATCCGGTGTTTGTGACTCATTGAGAGGTTTAGTGATATATAGCAACTGTCACTTGTGGAAAAATAGGCATTATGATTACATAATGACGTGATGGCAGAGCTACTTAGCGGAAGACAATGCTTCATAATGAAGATTCAGGATGACTGGAGAGAAAGGGTTAAAAGCATGGAATAAAGTGGGGGCGGGGGCAGAATGACGACTTGCTGGATGCAGGTGGCTGATAGAGTGAAAATGTGGAATCTGACAGTCACATTAGAAAAACTGGAAAAACATCATTCATAATTTTACTGTTACACTGGGATATTAAAGATTGTTGAGGGAGCAAAGGGCATCGATGAAATCATGAGGCCACATGTTCTCCTTCAACACTGCTGAACGATTCAACGTGTAGGCTGACTTTCCATTGCGTGAAATCATGATCATTCAAGGTGACTGAAGAATAAAGGTCATGTTCATTGAAATTTACGGTGTAATTAATCAGTCGTATCCTCACAGAACACTAACTGGAAACAATAGATGGAAAAATATGTTTCTTATTAGCTGTGTTAGCCTTGGTGCCATCGATTTATCTCTTTTCTGCTTTGTTTTTCTGATCTGAAAATACTGTTAAACAAGTAAGAACACACATTTGCCTCAAGCACTGTAATTTTACATCTTTGCAAATGGGCTTTCATATACTGTTTGATCATCATAGCCCAAAGTTATTGTCCGACGAAACATTAGTTTTTGCATGTAAGTCAAAGTTTTCCACTGAAGAAAAGTCATGTGATTCTACATCATTTGAACGTTTATACATCAGTTGCTCATGACTAAACTTTGGTAAAATAACAAAAAAAACAACCCCCCCTTCTCCTCCACATGGTTTTACATGGCAATGCCATATCCATAAGCATACTCAGATGTTATCACAGTGCAAATTATTCTTCAACTTTATTTAGGGAAAGAAATAAAAATGCCATGTCACAAGTTGATTACAATTTAATTATCTTCTTGATTTTGCTTATAGAACATTCCAACCATAATCATGATAAAAGTGATAAAAGAAAGAAGCCCATTTATTCACCCATATTCTCTTATTTGTATGTCACAGAGTCACAGCATACAGCAGAATGTCCAAATCAACCCAGCTGTATATATTTTGTTGATTATTATTTTGACCCCACCAAACACCACTATCTTGCCAAAGAGCAAGCAAACGTATTGGTTTGCCTTTTTGTGAGTCCGCAACTCTGGATTTTCAGTCTCTCCCAATACCACACTTGACATTCACCAAAATCAGAAAAAATATACATAACACTGAGGCAAATAATAAAAATAATAATAATAATTATAATAAAATGAAACTCAAAAATCAGCACAAATTCATTTTAACACTTGCACATGTAATGGACAAACTTGG